CCACATCACCATGTGTTCAAACAGATAAAACAGACCTACATTACTTTGCAGATTTAAAACTATTTGCAGACGATACCATAGGCACAAGTGCTTTTTCCCTCAAACTTTCGTTATCGCGCAATATTGGCTCTGTAGCTGCATCATGCAAAGAAAACTGAACATATTAAACTTACTACTCCTCATCCTAAATCCAAGCCAAATAATTAGTTATATCACATGACCGCAAATTTTAAATTTATTTTTATCAACATGAAAGTGGAAAACGTGACCATAATCCACAACATGTACAGAGGAAGCAACATGAATAGCCAACCTGATAATAGCTTTTGCAATGTCGTACGAGCTTCCTTCCACGCTGGTCGTCCCAAGCCCGAAAACTTATTGAGATTAGGCTATATAGCATGTCATTCAACCAGCATTAGCAACTAGACTTCTTAATTTTGTTTTCGGTTATAATTTAATTTAATAATTTTCACATGGAAATAAAATTAAACCCCAGTCAAAGCAAGTGAAGCAGGTTGCATCAGTAGAGTATGATGTGTAATTAAAGGCTCACCTTCCTATCATAGAATTTTAGGCCACTTTCCTTCTCGAATATTTAGCAGCAACACATGATATGCTTGAAAATTGAAATTAATTTTAGTTTTCTCCAGTAATTTTTTTAATTAATTCTATTTATGTGTTCTCTGGTAACTTAATTTTTCGATGATGTAATCAGTAACAGTGGATGCATGAATACACACGCCAAAAATTCTACCCAAAACAGCACGAATGTTTGTCCCACACACAACAAAAATTACATCAACATAATACAGATCTTCTCACGCTTCACAAATTTCAATTTCGAGTAAAACTTTTGATTTTATCTGATTCAAAAGTTCAAGTAAAATTAAAACTAATTTCAAAAAGGAAAAAGAAAAAAAGGCAAATAGACCTGAGTGAAGCAATCGGAGTTTCTGAGATACGGACCGTCGAATAGACCGGCGGAGGCAATCACGGACAGGTCCAGCACATAGTCTCCAATGGCAACGCCGGGTCGGGGTTCCGAATCCGGTTCGGGTTTGAACACGCCGTACGGCAGATTCTGAATAGGGAAATGCGAGTCCGGGTGGACTTCAACGAACGACTTCAGCGCCATAGCGAAGCAACAACGGAGGAAACGACGTCGTTAGGAGCTAGGCCAGAGCTCTGGTGCTACAGAAGAAAGAGTGACGATAGTGGGAGTGAATAATTTAAGAGTGCATTTGGATGGAGGGATTTGGGGGAGGGATTTCAAATCCATAATAACAAATCCCTCGGACTTGTTTGGATTGAGGGATTTGGAAATGGATTTCAAATCCCCACCCCTCCTTTTTAGTTGATTTTGGAGCAATATTGATGGATTTCAAATGACTCCAAAATTGGAGTCATTTCAAATCCATTCCCCAAATCAAATCCCTCCCCAAATCCCTCCATCCAAATGGACCCTAAAGGTATTTGTAAACAAATGGTAAAAATACGGAATGGCGGGTTGTTGGAGTGGGTCTCAGTAAATATAAATATGACGTGTGAATTTATATATATATTATTTTATTTTACTTTTTTTCTTATTTCCTTTTTTATTTATATTATTTGTTTAATGAAAAGAATAACAACGAGCGATACGCAGTG